TCATTTGATGTTGTTCTTATTCTTAAAGTTTTTTCAATGGCTCCAGTTAGTCATTTGAGTATGATAATATCAGAGTCAGAGCAATTTTAGAGGAAGGATGCGGCCAACGCGAAGTCGCCAGGGTACTGTCAAGTGGGGCGTGGGACGACCAGGTTGATTGTCACGAGTCTGACCCCAACTTTTTTGGTGTTTCTATACACCAAAATATCGAAAACGAATAGGTCCTGGTTTCGCCGTAAAAATTTGAAAATTTAAATTATCCGTTTTGCTCTACTTGCTCAAATCAACTATGTAAATATATCATTTTACAACAATTTTGTTATGTACATTGCCATAAAAATATATCAAAGTTTTGTGTTTTTTATTGGTTAACAACTCGATAGATGAAGGTTATTTCTTGGTTGCCATTCTTTGTGTTATCCAACAAAATAATACAAACAGGAAGATTGTTACTAGGTTAACTGACGCCATTTTTTGGTTATCCAAGTAGTGAACGGTTTTTTATGAAAGTTTATAAAGGTTGATTGGTTGTAGGTTCGCAAACCATAAAAATGAAAGGTTTTTCAGGTTATCAAAGATCTACATTTGTTTATAGGTTATCCTACTAATAGGAAGGTAGGTCACTATAGGTTATTTGCTGGATATCCAAGAAGTGGAAGGTTTTTACAGTTTATCGAAAATTTTGATTTGTTTATAGGTTATCCTATTAATAAGACAGTAGATGACTATAGGTTATTTACTGCAGGTTATCTAAGTAGTGGAGGGTTTTTCAATAGCATATGCCTAATAAACTTTCAATAGCTGTTTCCTTTAATTATTGTTTATTTGTGTTTGATGTAGGAAACTCGTTGAGAACCATTCTAAAGCAGGCGTCCCAAGGCGAGAGGTTTAAGGAAATCTGCGACAAGTTCCCAGACGATAAGATAATCGGCATGTACGACTTCCTGCAGCCGATTCTGTTAGTCAAAGACGCCGAAGTGGCCGAGGCAGTGTTGGTGAAGGACTTTCCCCATTTCGTCGATCGCGGTTTCGAAGTGGACGAAAACACCAACCCTCTGGATGTTAACCTCTTTTCCATGACTGGAAAAAGGTGAACAGTAGTCCGTTTTTCTGTTTCTTTTTCCCGAATAATTTCTTTTTCTTCCACCAAGGTGGAGAGCTTACAGGAACAGGTTGTCACCGATTTTCACTACAGGGAAGCTGAAGACGATGTACGGATTAATGACCGAGATCGGCGAGAACTTGGTTAACGCGATTGAAAAGGAGCCGACGGATTGCGTCGATATGAAAGACGTATTCGGCCGTTTTTCGATGGACGTCATAGGCAATTTCGCGTTCGGTTTCAACCCTGGCACCCTGGCGGACCCTAAATCCGAGTTCAGAACGATGGGAAAGAATGCCTTCGAGTTCACCGCCTTCCAATTCCTCAAATTCATCATCATCTTCAATTTCCCGAACTTGGCGAAAAAGTTGGGCCTCTCCTTCAATAACAAGAAGGTGCAGGATTATTTCGTCAACATCATCAAGGAAACGATTGACCACAGGGTGGGGAAGAATTTCCGGAGGAACGATTTCCTTGACCTCATGCTTCAACTCAGGGAGAAAGGTTCCGTGGAAATAACGACGAAAGACCCCAGCGATGATTACCTCGACATCGGGAATAACACTTACACGACAGAAAAATTCGGTAAGCTACCTAAAGATAACGCGAACCATTTCCATAAATTATTAATAAAAATGTATGTTATAAGTAGATTACCTGGGGTCATTGGTTATCTTTAGAAATTTTAATAATGATTCATCATGTGTACTGGACCATCAAAATAGAAGTCACATGTGTGATTAGTCAAAATGGATGTTATGTGGGCGTTATCGATGAAAATCAGACACATGTGTCATTAATCATAATCGCTGTCTTTCCTCGGATTGCAACTAAATGACCTACTCTGTATAAAATCAGGTCTAAATGACCTACTCTGTATAAAATCAGGTTACCGATAACCAATGAATAACCCTCTTGCCAAGCCAGGTTAGCTATCAATCAAGAAGATTATACATAGGATGTCTATTTAAAGTTCGGTCGGTATTTTTTTTATGACTCTTTGTGTATATATACAGGGTGAATTGCTACTCGTGCTACAAACTTCTCCAGTAGATTCTTCACCCTAAAATGAACAAAAAAGTTCATATTGTCCATGGTCCGATTCTCAACCATTTCAGAGTAATTTCGCTTTTTATCGATTTTGAAAGATATCACGTCCTGGCGTCGGAAAATCGTGATATCTTTTAATCTAAACATTTCTCTTAAAATCTATAAGCACCGTTGAAATCCCCGTTAATTTTTAGAGAGAATCAAAATCATAATTCCATTGAAATTTTTTAATTTAATTTAATGCCCATTTAGTATGTAATGCTTAAGAAGTTTACAAACAGCTAGAAGGTCAAGGAAGAAAGACCCAAACGTTTTGCCACCTTCATCTTCTTATTGAAAAATTAACGGGGATTTCAACGGTGCTTATAGATTTTAAGAGAAATGTTTAGATTAAAAGATATCACGATTTTCCGACGCCAGGACGTGATATCTTTCAAAATCGATAAAAAGCGAAATTACTCTGAAATGGTTGAGAATCGGACCATGGTCAATATGAACTTTTTTGTTCATTTTAGGGTCAAGAATCTACTGGTGAAGTTTGTAGCACGAGTAGCAAGTCACTCTCAAACATTAGCAATCCTTGAACCACCATTTTTTCTCTTTTTGTCATCAACATCTTGGTCTCACAACCACTAAATAAGAAAATGACGAGTGCGTTGGAAGCGTTATTAAATCAGGTAGTTTTCCTCAAATTTGCTGCCTTCTGAGACTAAAATTAGAAACTCTGGATTACTTTATACACTTTCCGATTTACACAATTTTCCACTCTTTTTGTAGTTCTGGCTGAAATAAAACACAAAAAATTAGCCCAAACATTTTGCCACCGTCATCTTCTTATTGAAAAATTAACGGGAATTTCAACGGTGCTATTAGATTTTCAGAGAAATGTTTAGATTAAAAGATATCACGATTTTCCGACGCCAGGACGTGATATCTTTCAAAATCGATAAAAAGCGAAATTACTCTGAAATGGTTGAGAATCGGACCATGGACAATATGAACTTTTTTGTTCATTTTAGGGTGAAGAATCTACTGGAGAAGTTTGTAGCACGAGTAGCAATTCACCCTGTATATATATATATACATAAAGAGTCATAAAAAAAATCAAGTCATAACAAAGTCATAACAAATTTTTTTGTTAGAAGTGACAGATAACCTTATGGTCGGGCAAGCTTTCATCTTTCTGACTGCCGGCTTTGAGACTACAGCTGCAATCATGGACCTCGTCTGTTACGAGTTTTCCAAGAATCCTGAGATACAGCAACGAGCGAGGAATGAGGTCAAAGAGAGAGTGCGCTATCACGGTAAACTTAGCTTCGATTCCGTTAAGGACATGACCTACCTGGACATGTGCCTGAAGGAGACGATGAGGAAGTACTCACCGCTGCCCATGCTCATGAGGATCTGCGCGAAAGAGTATACTTTCGACAATGGATTGACCGTCTACCCGGGTGACAAACTGTTAATCGCCTTGTATTCAATCCACATGGACCCGACCTACTTCCCTGAACCTGCAAAGTTCGACCCTGAACGCTTCGGACCCGATGTCTTCCAGAAGCCCTGCGCCTTTTTGCCGTTTGGCGAAGGGCCAAGGATGTGCATCGGTGAGTAATCAATTATCACAATTTTATCACAAGTCCTAACCTTTTTTTTCGTTTTATTTATTTACAGCCATGAGGTTTGCCTTACAAGAGATGAAGTTCTGCCTGGCAAAGATCCTGATGTCATACAGCCTCAAGCTGAACCCAAAGACTAAAGAACCATTGGTATTTAACAAACAGACCTTCTTCACAACTCCTCAAGACCCAGTTTACTATGACCTGGAAAAGGTCGAATTATAATGATTTTAAAATAAAATGTTTTAATTTGAGTTCCTCATTGTTCCTACCTTAGTTTACATATTAAATAACTATTCACAACCGGATCTTACTTCTGAGGATTAAAGCTGGGCGCGAACTAGGTCGGTGGGGGTGCGCGGAATTGTGAAGGTCCGCACACTATGTAGGAACAGCTCTCGGCCGCGTTGGTCGAATTTTCCCCCTCCATCTGACTAGCGCTGAGGCTTAGTGCTGATTTTGCATTTCCAGGAGTCCCAACGTTACAATCATTGGCTTCGTCTTTACAAATATGGCGTCCGAGGGCAGCCGAATATACCCAAACTCAACGATTTCCGACCGCCCCGGCACACACTAGGCGGGTACCAGAAGTCTGGCAACTTCCTCCGGCTCCGAGCCGCGCCGCCCGCCCTACCGTCCTAGTGTACGGGGTTATATTCATTTCAATGTATTATTTTTGGGGGGTCGGTTCCGCGCCGCGCTGTCGACCTAGTGTGCGCCCAGCTTAAAGGTAAGTATTAGGTTATGACCGGTAAGTGTATTTGGGTAGAAGGTCGTAAGGAGCTCAGAGAATCAGGATGAGGCGATGATGGACGATGATTCCCAAACATAAGTTTTCACATAACCAGGTAAGTCAATAGTTAGAAGCAAGATTTATAAGGCTCTGTACCAAAAAGAAGGTTTCACATAACCGGGTAAGTCAATAGTTATGAGTATGTTTTACAAAATGATTTACCAAAAAGAAGGTTTCACAAAACCAACTAAGCCAACAGTTAAAAGTATGTACGAAAATACACATCATTTCAAGTCCCTTTAATTATTTCTCTAGAAAACGAATTGGAATACTGGCTATTTCCCCTCTTACTAGAAAGTAGGGAAAGTTATCTCAATGTGAGGAACAAAGTTATCCAGGAGATCACGGTTTTCAACGAGGTAAAATTTTACATAACCGGGTAAGTCAATAGTTATGAGTACGTTTTACAAAGAGAGTACCAAAAAGAGTATTTACTAAAAAAGCGAGGGTGCCGATATTTAGAGTGTGTCGATCTTATTTCTTATCTTCAAAATTGGAATTTTTGACATTGAAGAGGATCGTTGGGCAATATTTCGAATAGAGATTCAAGGGCGATGCGAACACGGTTGGCTCAAGGGCGAACGAACCGAGGTGGGGGAGTTGAAAACCAAAGTCGCCTATTGACTTAATTGACCCATTGACTGTCATGTCGCCGGTGCTTGCTTCTCTCCTGGCCGTGGCGGCATCCCTTCTCGCCTATGCCGTCTACAGGATGAAGAAGATCTACAGAACGTGGAAGGATCGAGAAGTGAAATACGAAGAACCATGGCTTTTTTTCGGTAAGATTTTTTCACCCACTGTCTCTGTTAAAAATTAATTTAACGAACAATTTATTTTGTTTAAAACAAAATTTGTTATCTTTCTACATTAATTACAAGTGAATACAAGCTCTCGAAGTCAAAATAAACTGTAAATAATGCTTTGTTTTGTACTGATTAATCTCGATCATTAATCGATTTTGGTACGCCTAAAGATCGTTTTCAGTTAATATATTTCCTTTCGTTGATTTCATTTGATGTTGTTCTTATTTTTGAACCTTCTCAATGGCTCCAGTCAGTCATTTGAATATGAATATCAGGGTCCTAGCAATTTTTGAGAAAGGATGCGGCCAACACAAAGTCGCCAGGGGACTGTCAAGTGAGGGTTGGACGACCAGGTTGGTTGTCATGGTCTGAGCCAAACTTTTTTTTGGCGTTTCTATATACCAAAATATCGAAAACGAATAGGTCCTGGTTTCGCCGAAATAATTGAAAATTTAAATTATCCATTTTGCTCTACTTGCTCAAATCAACTATGTAAATATATCATTTTACACCATTTTTGTTATGTACATTGCCATAAAAATATATCAAAGTTTATCAATAACAAAAATTTTTAAAAACCAATTATTTTTCACGTATATTATGTCATAATTTTTTTCCTCGTGAAACTAAACGAAATAGAAAGAGACAAGCTAACAGAAAAAAAAGCGCGTATTTTTTTTTACTGAACATAAAAGATTACAAGTCACACAAAAAGGGAAATAAGTAGGTTGTTTTATGGTTTTTATTGGTTAACAACTCGATAGATGGAGGTTGATTCTTGGTTAACTTTTTTTGTGTTATCCAACAAAATAATATTAACAGGAAGATTGTTACTAGGTTAACCGAAGCCATTTTTTTAATAGATCAACCACCCATCAAAAGTAGGTTATTTTATAAGTTACTAAATTACGAAATTGGTTTATAAGTTATAAAGATAGTTGATGAAATGTTATAAAAAATGAATGGTTGTAGCTTCGCAAGCCATAAAATTTTTACCGGTTATCAAAGATTTCGATTTGTTTGTAGTTTATCCTATTAATAAGAAGGTAGGTTACTATAGGTTATTTACTCAATGTTATCTAAGTAGTGAATGGTTTTTATGAAAGGTTAAAAAAGATGATTGGTTGTGGATTCACAAACCATAAAAATCAAAGATTTTTACAGTTTATCAAAGATCTGAATTTGTTTGTAGGTTATTCTACTAATAGGAAGGTAGGTCACTATAGGTTATCTCCTGTTGGATATCCAAGAAGTGGAAGATTTTTACAGTTTATCGAAAATCTTGATTTGTTTATAGGTTATCCTATTAATAAGAAAGTAGGTGACTATAGGTTATTTACTGCAGCTTATCTAAGTAGTGGAAGGTTTTTCAATAGCATATGCCTAATACTTTCAATAGCTGTTTCCTTTAATGATTGTTTATTTGTGTTTGACGTAGGAAACTCGTTGAGAACCATTCTAAAGCAGACGTCCCAGGGCGAGAGGTTTAAGGAAATCTGCGACAAGTTCCCAGACGATAAGATAATCGGCATGTACGACTTCCTGCAGCCGATTCTGGTGGTCAAAGACGCCGAAGTGGCAGAAGCAGTGTTGGTGAAGGACTTTCCCCATTTCCTCGATCGCGGTATGGAAGTGGACGAAAACACCAACCCTCTGGATGTCAACCTCTTCTCCATGACTGGAAAAAGGTGAACGGTTGTCCGTTTTTCTGTTTCTTTTTCCCGAATAATTTCTTTTACTTCCACCAAGGTGGAGAGCTTACAGGAACAGGTTGTCACCGATTTTCACCACAGGGAAGCTGAAGACGATGTACGGACTGATGACTGAGATCGGCGAGAACTTGGTTAATGCGATTGAAAAGGAGTCGACGGATTGCGTCGATTTGAAAGACGTGTTCGGCCGTTTTTCGATGGACGTCATAGGCAATTTCGCGTTCGGTTTCGACCCTGGCACCCTGGCGGACCCTAAATCCGAGTTCAGAACGATGGGAAAGAAGTTCTTCGAATTCACCGCTTTCCAAATCCTCAAAGTCGTCATCATCTTCAATTTCCCTAACTTAGCGAAAAAGTTGGGCCTCTCCTTCAACAAGAAGGTGCAGGATTATTTCGTCAACATCATCAAGGACACGATTGACTACAGGGTGGAAAAGAATTTCCGGAGGAACGATTTCCTTGACCTCATGCTTCAACTCAGAGAGAAAGGTTCCGTGGAAATAACAACAAAAGACCCCAGTGATGATTACCTCGAAATCGGGAATAACACTTACACGACAGAAAAATTCGGTAAGCTACCTGAAGATAACGCTAACCATTTCCATAAAATATTAATAAAAATGTATGTTATAAGTAGATTACCTGTGGGGGGGAGTTTCTCATTGGTTATCTTTAGAACTATTTGGCGATTCATCATGTGTACTGGACCATCAAAATGAGTCACATGTGTCATTAATCATAATGGCTGTCTTTCCTTGTATAGCATCTAAATAACCTACTCAGATCACCGATAATCAATGAATAACCCACTTGCCAAGCTAGGTCAGGTGTAATCAATGAAGTATATGATTCTTAGGTTATCTGTTTAAAGATTGGTAATGATTGGTTATATACAGGTTATATGTATATATAGAAAAATTCAACTTTGACATCAATTAATAACTATATTAACCAAATGTGCAAAACATTTTTTTGTTTAGAAGTGACAGATAACCTGATGGTTGGGCAGGCTTTCATCTTTCTGACAGCCGGCTTTGAGACGACAGCTGCAATCATGGACCTCGTCTGTTACGAGTTTTCCAAGAATCCCGAGATACAGGAACGAGCGAGAAATGAGGTCATAGAAAGAGTGCGCCATCATGGAAAACTCAGCTTCGACTCCGTCAAGGACATGACTTACCTGGACATGTGCCTGAAGGAGACGATGAGGAAGTACCCACCAGTGCCCGGGGTCATGAGGATTTGTGCGAAAGAATATACTTTCGACAATGGATTGACCGTCCACCCGGGTGACAGACTGTTGATCGCCTTGTATTCAATCCACATGGACCCGACCTACTTCCCTGAACCATCAAAGTTTGACCCTGAACGCTTCGGACCTGATGTCTTCCAGAAGCCCTGCGCCTTTTTGCCATTCGGTGAAGGGCCGAGGATGTGCATCGGTGAGTAATCATTTATCACAATTTTATCACTAGTCCTAACCTTTTTTTTTAATTTTGATTACAGCTATGAGGTTTGCCTTACAAGAGATGAAGTTCTGCTTGGCAAAGATGCTGATATCGTACAGCCTCAAGCTGAACCGAAAGACTAAAGAACCATTGGTATTTAACAAAAAGACCTTCTTCACCACTCCTCAAGACCCAGTTTACTATGACCTGGAAAAGGTCGCCTTATGATGATTTGAAATAAAGTGTTTTAATTTGAGTTCCTTATTATTCCCATCTTACTCCCATACTAAATAACGTACTAATCACACAGGTTCTTACCATTGAGCATTAAGTATTAGGTTGTGACAGGTAAGAGTATTTGGATACAAAAAGGTCGTAAGGAGCTCGCTATTAGGATATAGCTGATGTGAGAATCAGGATAAACCAACGATAAGGGGGGGGGTCTTCCATCGCTACCTTGCTACCAAGATACTGGACGTTACTCAAGATGGCATGGATCAGATCACCATTGGGTTACATCTCAGCAAGATAATCATTTTATTGCTCAAAATGAAGTCTGTAATCGACATTCTATATGCGAGAAGGCCGCCACTGGTTCAGAAATTCTGTCAAGGGACAGAAAAGCTCAGTTAATTCATGCAAGAAATTACATCAATTGTTCTGAGTAAGATTGGATTAAAATATTGTTTTCAGATGAGTCAAGGTTTTGTTTGAGGTCTGATGGCTGAGAGAAGATTTGGAGAAGAACAGGAGAGCGATATATCCCCGCACCATTTTCACTCTGGAGAAGCTGTGGAGATGTTGTTATGGTTTGGGCAGGCATTTTGAGGGTTCCCTAATATCTGCGCGGTACATCGAAGATGTGTTATAAAAAATCTTTTTGCCATTTTTCAAAAAGAATAATTAATTAAAATAAATAATTTGGTCAATTAGACCACTAAACATAAATGGATTAATATTGTATATAGTATTTGTACTATAAACCATTGGAGGGTAGTGTACCCACTCATTCCTACTGATACTTCGATTGATACGAAAATAAAAGGTGATAATAAAGTGCTCACATTAACCATTTGTATTTTGAGTACATTAAAGGCGAAGATAGGTGTGTTATTATTTCCTACAACTGAAACCCTGGTTCAAAGACAACAGGCTAATCGTGCTAATTCTCAGCCATGATTGAAAAGTATCCAAAACTCTAATTTCTATAAAAATATTTATTTTTTACTTGCGTCCTGGCTTACTGATCTTCGTCATTTAGCACGTGGTTGGATTTTATCTGCTGAAATCGCTTGAATCCTTCCTCATATTCTTATGTCGGTCACCAATATGTAGTATTGGATGATACTATTGTAGGGAATAATGGAAGGGTGCAACATCTGGAGGAAAACTGTTTTATATTCTATGTGGAAGAACTTGGGTACTAAATCATAAAATGATCTTACAACCATACCTTACAAATCAAATTTGAAGTGCTTTTGATAGGAGAGAGTATGACACCAAAACCAGGAGTAACAGGAGAGTAGAGAAAGGAAGTAGATGGTGGACAAGAAAGAAGGGAAAAGGGCCTTAGGGAATATAGTGGTAAAATTGGCTAAATTGCTAAATACTTAAGAAAATCCTAAAATGATTTTATGGACATACCTAACAATCAGATCTAAGATCACGTATGTAAGCTATGGTGGCCAAAAACAGAACAAAGGTACGCAGAAAAAATCTTACAACAAATTCCAGAGAATTGCCTCAGCATCGGTGTTATTAAAACTTGTGATTCTCTCCAGATTGCGAATAGGTCACATCAAGGTAATCCATAATAGGCTTTTAATAGGCAACAACCTTCCAACTTGTCCATGTATGCGAAGTGGAGAACGTATCATTCTGACTGTGAAACAGATTTTGGTCAACTGTCACACCTTAGGCAAACCTTCCCTAAGAGAGGTTGGATGTTAGGGCATGAAATGACCTTAGCTGTTAAAAGCCCTTAAAAATGAATAATAATAATAATAATAGAGAGATCACCTGACTATAAAACTTGAAACAAGCAAGAATTTCCGCTCTGGGAAAAACCGAAGTTTTGAGATATATAGAAAAAATAAGTGCATGATAGTGGTGTGTTGTAGTAGCTAGGACGTCCCTTCGTCAGTCTAGTGTTTTTGAAATGTTTTTTGGTGAGGTGAGTTCAATTGGCTAAGTGTTTTGATGATTAGACAAGTCTGCTGGGTGATAGTTTGTAGCTTGGATTCCCTATTGGGAAGTGAGGGGACTGATTCTCCTTAGAAACCGGTTTTCAGGGTTGAGTAAGTTTTATTTATTTACCTCATTCTTTTTTCTTTATCTGTTTTTTCAATTTTTCAAAATTTTCCAAAATCAGTTGAAAAGCTCTTACGGCCCAGTGAGCCAAGAAGGTTCTCGAAACTGACTGCCCTTCTAAATAGGACAAAATAGGCCTTCCCCAGCTTGTTTCTCCTACTAGGGCAAGGCATTTTGTCATTTGTAGGTCAGATGGGAAAGATAACGTCAGCCTTCATTCACTGTTGCCAATAAGAATATGTAGAATAATAAATAGAAAAATAAGGAATATTGTAAATATAAAAAAAGTTGGGATGGTTTAATTTAGACTGAAGCTGATTGTTAAATGAGAAACAAGGTAGTAAAATAATGAAAATTAAAAATTTAGAAAATATACTGGTAAAGGTTGAGAGAAATGTAAAATTGACACCTCAAAAGGTGTAATTTCTTGCTGGGAGTTAAAAGAGTGTACTGATGAATAACTCCTAGAAGAATTAAAGAGTTCTAATGTCATAAGCATTCATCAATTAAAAAGAAAAGACGGTAAGACATCTTTTTCATGGTTGTTACATTCAATGCCCCATGTCCTCCAAAAGAATTGTACGTTGCCTATATGAAGATTCTTGTAAGACTATTTATTCCTGCTCCCCTACGGTGTTTTAAACGTTTGAATTTTGGACATACAATTTCTTCTTGAAAGAAGAAGGTTTTTATGTGTGGATGAGGGTTGGAAAGGCACGAAAATACTGTTCCTTGTCAGCCTCCGATTTGCATAAATTGTCAGGGCTCTCATAACACCTTGGCACGTTAGTGCCCAAGACATAAATATGAAACACAAGTTATGGAGCTGAAAGTAAAAAATATAATAACATTTGATCAAGCAAAGTTCCTAATTTGCTCTGGCCTTATTCAAAACAGGATTGCCTTTGTGGAAAAAAATTCAAATGGGCACAAAAGAAATAGGTTGTCAGACTTTCCTTCCATAAATTTGGTCAAAATATCTAGAAAAACTTTGTAAAACTACGGAAATATCAAAAATCTAAAAAAACATCATAAAAGTATGTTTTCTTCCGATTTTTCGATTTTGAACTACCGTTTGAGTCGAGAGTTGCGAGTTAGCAAATGTAGCCTGTCGACTAGTTCAACTTGATCTCGTGTATCAATCTTGTTAAAATTTGGTGAAAATATCTAGAAAAAATTGACAAAACTAAGGAAATATCAAAAGTCTAAACCCGGTTAAGTCAATCTGTGCCTGCCATTTCTCACAAAACAGGAGGCCACGCAACCATTTGTATTAAATAAAGTTCACTACAAAAAATGAAAACTTTATCTAGTTGGGAGAGCCCATACTTTTGGGCCCCCAAGTTCTAACCCTTCTAAGCAGGTGCTGTGATAGGTAATAGGTTTTATTTTTGGAACACTACCTGAATTAAAATTTCCAGATAGTACAGATTGCAAGGCAAACCAAGAGGTACAGATAGTATTGGCAGCTGGGGCAATAATAAAATATTAATTCTAACATGCTCACTAACCTGACTGCCAGCAAAGAGAGTTGATTTACCATTTGTAAATCCCCCCTGGAAAAAGAAAAAATTAAGTTTAAATGAGAGAATAGTAGACAACTTACATAAATAGATGTTATATAAATGAAACTTACCCTTTGAAGGCAACAATCCTTGCCTTAAAACAGCTAGGATGAACCAGCTAACCACACACTGTTCAACACTCGAGAAACAACTTAACGCACTGTTTAAATACACTTTATGAAAATGTAGGAAAAAGATACAAATCGGCACAACACCATCTAGAAAAGAAAAACACAAGAAATGTATAAAACTTACAATAAATGAATTATAATGTACAATGACAATCAGATTACTGAAAAGGTGTAGTAAATAATAATTAAAACATACAAAAAAGGGCGGAATATGATTTCTTGTACTAATATAACTAAATGAGGTCAGAATCTTCATTCATTTGATGAGAATAGAATGTCATCCTACTTCTTAACTAATATTAAAATGAATATCAAAAATCAATATAAGAGCAATCAATCAATAAAATCTAATGATTATTTAGAGATAGTGAGGTGCAGTCTGGTGTGATGTAGGTTTAGAAAAACATTTTCTTAACAGAAATGAGTGATGGAGTGAGTGCGGCGTTCAATCCTTTTTAAAAAAGATAGTTCCTACTCACTGTAAGTAAAAAACATTTTCTTTATCGTGCAGAGTGCATCTTACGATCTCTAAATGATCATTAATTAATGGTCACTAAATACCACACAAATAAAATCTAATCAATTTCTTTTTATAAATAAAGAGAAAAGACAATTATTGAGGGTTTAAATGAAATTTTCACATCTTAACCGTCTGAGCCGCCTAGAAGTGCCAGTAGCTGAAAAGCTTTTGATACATAAGCCAAAATAAATCAATATCCGTATTATATAATAATTGAAAACTGGTCAATTGACTATTTGCAATGGATTTCATTTTAAAAAAAGAAAGACCAACACTTTTTAAACTAATAAATGTCAAAAATGATAAATACCTTTTTCGAGGATGAAAATGTGATGTCGAACCGACGGCCGCCACGATAGAAAGAGGGCGAATGGCGGGAATATTACTTCCCAGTCCCCTCACCAACTGATAATCATACAATTTTCTCACAAATTAATTTAAATATTTAAAAATGGTTTAAAATAATATCAACCGAATATTGTAACTACTTTTTTTAATTAAGCCCGATTAAAAAAAAAAAATCATACTTTAGTACTTTTAGAAGATACTTGTTCAAGCTGGCAGTGATCTGATAGGCCGATGATTCTCCGTTTAGAATTTGAATAATGATTTCAGTTTAAAAATAAATAATTAATTGTTAAATATTCCGTAAGTTTTTGTGCTATTATTATTAGAAAGTATTTTAAAGAATGTAATATTTTTTATTTACTAGGAAGTGTCCTTGAATCAC